ATATTTCACAATATTACTATTTTTACTGTATTTTTTATCAAATAATTGCCTTGGTAAGCATGAGAAACTACTCTTAAAAACATTTTTAAAGAATCTTACAAACCCTAAACTTTTCCAGGGTAGTGTACATTTCATTTCCTTTTGTGTAAAAACTTGTGTATAAGGGGGACATTTTTTACAAAAGTGCACCTTTAAGACAAATTTCATCTACTCTTTTGACTGTCATGCCTTTTCATCAATTTACATATTCAAAACCCTATGTTTGTTGCTTCTGCTCTGGACCAGCTAAAAAGCCACACCCAACCTGTAAAACCTGTTGGCCTGGATCACAGGCAAACATGGTCAAAAGACATCTGCGAAACAGGACTGATGCCATATACGGTCTTGAGACTAAAACATCTGAAGACTTGAACTGATTGAAGGCATGATGAGGCTTTAAGTCCTACAAACTTCAGCACTTGGTAAAATTAATAAAACATGAAAATCCTATTACTAATCCCTGTCTTGAGCGAGTTTTGACTTTCATGAGAAGGATACTGTAATGGACTGTCAGAGAGTAGTTTCCAGCAGGGAGCCCCGCGGCATAATCACCCTCTGTGATTCGCCGGTACAGCTTCCTGAACTGAGGAAGTGCAGCTCTCCTCATCCACACTAGAAAGTCCTGGTTCAGGAAACCGTTGTTGTTTGGGTCTGTGAGGTCCAGCTCATATGCTGCCTTAGGCCAGTTTATGGGCTTCACTGTACCTGTTAATCAGCATCCATAAAGAATTTAAGTTCTATTCCAAGTCTCAAATCCTATAGCTACTATTACATTACAACCTTAAGGCAAATTACCATCAAACGCGCTTGCAAACGAGCCATTCACAGACAAGGGGTTCCTGTACTTTATGTTGAAATCAGTCCACCAGGAGATTCCTTTACCATCTAATGGAACCTCCTTCTTCGTTCCATTGATTATTTGGTAGAGCTCAAATGTGTCTTTGCACAAGACACACAAATAAATTAGTAGTAATCAAATAAATTAGTAGTAATTTCAGAGCTTAATACATATAAACAAAGTGAATCTACAAATCTGAAATGATACCATTGAACATGCTATTCGCTATAGTTCCACAAGGGACAATGGGGTTATTTTTGGAGTCATACGAATATGGAGAGCAAACATCTCGTGGACTCTGAAAAGTCAGACGAAAATCAAAACAAAGAAAGTGGGATTCAATACATAAAATGAAAGATCCAAAAGTTGAAACAACATTTAAAAGATTGTTCATGCCAAACGCAAACCTTGAAATACTGTGTATCGCCAGTGAGCTGATAATAGTCTTTTGACACACCATATTT